AGGGTGTGATGCCCCCAGTACAATGGAGGGGAGAAGCTGCAGCTCAGCGCACCCTGACAGGACGCAGGCAGCTCAGCCCCCCGCTGCTGAGGCAGAACGTTGAGCAGGACGGGAGTGCGGGTCGCTGCGGGACACAGTGAGCTGATCTGCAGATGCCCCTAACGTGCAGGAGGAAGAGGAACACACGCAGAAGCCGAGTGCAGGAAGCGCATCCGGGAGCCCTGGAGGTGTCAAGGGGACACCTCAACGTGTTCTCACTCAGGCTCACAAAAGGCAGCTCCCTCCGCTACAGCATAGAAGAGCATAAACAACCTGAGGTAGTGGATACGAGTGGCAAAATCCTGAGAAACTCCCCGCTCCCTCAAGGGCTAAACACCAGCGCATGTGTGTAACCCAGGCCGGGCCCTCCGTACACGTGTCTCCCACTCCAGCCCCTACAGGGTCGAACTTTTTCAGGTCACCAAAGATGAACCGGAGCCTGGGCATGGTCACTACCTGGGGTGAGGAACAGAGGCACTCGGAGGCCACGGGACACCTTGGTACAGGCAGAAATGCGGGTGGGGGTCACCGTGGGTGCTGACTGCCCCAGCCAAGGCTCTCGGGAATCAGCCCCACCCGCAGCCCCCACTTACGTGCAGCCTGAGCATAGCTCCCACCTTTACACCTGCGGGAAGAAAAGGCTTGAAATGTCATGGACGCAGCCTCCTCCCAACCGAGCTCTGCAGCCCTGACACTGTCCTAGCGTCCCCACGCTCATCTGTGCACGGACAGACCGCCACCTCCCTGCGTGGCTGGTGGGCAGCTCGGCTCAGCCTCTCCTACCGGCTGTCCGCCGTGTCCCCGGCTCGCGTGTGCCCTGTTTCCCCTTCTGCACTGATGGTGACCCCAACGCCCTCCTTTAGGAGTCTGAACGCTGGCTGTGCTCCTTGGCTTCTCCTTCTCACACTCCAGATTGAGTCCCGGGGAAATGCAGGGGGCGCATGTCCAGAACCCAGGGGCCAGGGCCCCCGCCATGTGCGCTGCTCACCCGCAGGGCAGGGACACGTGCATCCAGAGGGAGCACAGCACCTGGCCCTGAGGGGTGTGCTGCCCGGCTGTCCCTGCCCCTCATGATGCTCCTGTGAGCCCAGCAGCCAGGGACAGCACAGGGCCGCTCCACAGCAGGAGTCCTCCTGTGGCCCTGAGGAGCTCAGCTCTCACCTCAGGCCCCTTCTCACCTGAAGAACAGATGCAAACCTTCCGGCCCCCTCCAGGCCTCAGGATCCTGCTGCACCCCTGACATGTGCTACCTGACAGGACATAGCTGAGTGCTTGCTGTCCCAGGAATACAGGGACAGGACTCGCCCCAGAGCACTGGCCCTGCAGCTCCTGTGCCTGGGAGGAACTCGCCCACAGCCTCACGAGGGTCCCTCGCTTTCCTCAACCTTTCCTCAAACGTCAGCTTCTCAAGGAGGAATGAGGGATGGACTCGCAACCTAGCAAGGCAGCTGTCTCCCTGCCCGAATGCCACTTGCTCACATTTACCTAGACACTTGTCACCTCTGAACACAGCCACTGTCCTCAGTGACTGCTGAGAGCGCACCACCACCCTCTCTCCCCCAGGACACGGCCCGCTCAGTGGCCGTTTCCCTCCTATGACTGCGCCGGGTACAAGAACAGCAGCTGGCCCTTGTGGCCCAGAGCTGCCAGGTGAGTGACGTCACTGAAGAGCACCCCGCTAGTCTCACCACCTTTACTTCTTTCTTCCGCTCTCCAGCTTATCTGAAGCAATTCCGTTTGAAGAGTTTTAGTTACAGCAGTCACAGAAAAAATAAGCACTGGAGCAGTAGTCGGAATGAAAGAATAATCAGGAGCACTGATGTTGTTAATTTTTCTTGAACAGCATCATGGCTTTATTCAAAACACAGCTGTGGCAGGGTGTGCCGGGCCAACCTTCCACTCCAGCACCTGGGAGGCTGAGGCAGGAGGCTTGCCCTGAGCTTGAGATCAGCCTAGGCTATCTGATGAATTCAAGGCCAGCCTGCACTAGAAAGGGAGAGCCTCTGGAGGGGGGCATGCTTAGCCGGCCACTGAGACTGGGCAGGTGGTGAAGGCCTGTAGTCCCTGCTCTTGGGAGGCTGTAAACAGTCGGATCACTTCGAGAGTGATCTAGTAGTGCGACCCTGAACACCCTGCAGACCCCTCCCTAAAATACAAAAAAAAAAAAAAAAAAAAAAAAAGAATCCAAATTTGAATATGAAAATTGGAATCTGAGCAATAATTGAAGGCTGTAGATTTGGCAAGAGTGAAGGCAAACACTGAGCGCAGGGCTGAGAGCAGGAAATGCAGCGCTGGGAATGCAGGAGGAGTAAAGACTGCGGGAACCTTTGTCCCACACTGTGACACTTAGGTGTGTGCTCTTCAGTGCAGGAATCTCTTCTGCAGGAACTCATCCTAAGAGGGCACCGCAATGATCTTAAATATCGGTGTTCAGTGAAATTTCGCATGGTTCCTAAGGCTCCTTTTTTCTATCACTTTTTTGCCTTCTTCTTTTCAAATGCGTTTTAGTGCAGCGTCTCCAGGGTCTCACTGCACAGATCGGACTCCTACTGACCCTCCTGTATCAGCCTCCCCAGCGCTGGGATTACAGGTTCGCTCCCGCACGCGCAGTCTCACTGGCCCTCCCAGTGCTCCCGGGACAGGGCGGCCCGCAGGCTGGGGACGAACCCCGGTCCCCGCGTCTGCCTGAGCAAGCACTTTAGTCCGCTGAGTACCTGGCTGGCCCTTTCTACCACTATTTTGTATTCCTTAAATATATAGAAATGCATGTTCGAGCCCACACTTGGCCGTGGTTTCCAAAGCCAACAGACGGAAACAACGCACAGGCCGGCTCTCCGGCGAGCGCGCAGCCCTGGTGCCCAGAGGCGCGGCCGGCCGCGGGCAGCGCTGGAGACCCGCCTCTGCGCGGCTGGAACCGCCGCGGGCCTCGGCGGGCGGGCGGGCGGGGGCCTCCCAGTGGCTTTGTCGTCAGACGCAGTCTCTTCCGGTTCTCTTCAGTGCTGCAGCAGGGTCGGGACAGCTTCGCCCCTTGGCCGTCTGCACCGGCTGACCTCCTGGCGTCGGGGGTGTCACTTTCCCTGAGACGCTACTTCAGCTTGCTCCTGTTTTCACAGACGGTCCTCTTAGGGCCAGCGAGGGCATGCGGCAGCTTCCCCTTCAAAACAAAGGTGCAGGTTTCTCACTGTATGATCAAAATTCAATTACAAAAACAAAAGGGGGAATCTTACCCCCAATTCGTATATATATTAAATTCTATAAGAGATGGAAGTGCAACAGCAGGTAAGGAATTCAATCAGGTGAAAGAACCAAGCCCAGGAGGGTCCCGTGGGGAGATCTCTCTACTGCACAATGGAGGGACCCATCTGCTCCTCGCCTGGGTAGAGGGTGCGCTCGTGGTGTTCCAGAGAGGGCTGAATGACCCATCTGGGTTCCAGAGCACGCTGTCAGGCTGGACCGTGAACCTAGGTGTGGAGCAGAAGTTAGTAAGGATGAGGCTAGATCTGACCTGAGGTCTATTGCAGGAACTGACCCTGAAGGCCCAGGAGACAGGACCCAAATGGGACACCGCGGTCTGGACAGGTGAGGGAGCCAGCAGAGAGAGCGCAGCTGGGAGTTACCGGTGTTGTTTAAAAAAAAAAATTTATCTAATATATATATATATATATATATATATATATATATGAGTTTATTCCTTCAAATATTTGTGAGTTATTTGCTCAGTGACGAACATAAAAATCTGACTAGTCTATTTGCAATTATAAATTTCAAAGTTGTAATAGAGCTACTATAATTCAATTTGGTTGAAAATATATTTGAGTGCCCCCTGATTTTTGTTATGCCTGCTGGTTTAGTTGTCTGTATGTCCATTCTGTGAACAGCTGTTCCTTTTTATTTGGACTCAACAATTTTTATCTTTCCCTTTTCTTTTTGCATTTTTGGATCATTCATTTTAATACAGTCTGGCTTATAAGCTGAAAAGCACGCAAGCACCTGGGTTACCAGCTCATCTAAGTGATAAGACAGTTGGCTTTCTCACAACTTATTTTTAAAAAAGAATTAAATAAAAATTTCTTCGTGTGGGAAGAGATTATTGGACAGAAGTCCAGTTGGTGCACACAGGCGTTGCCAGCCTTTGCTCCTTGGTAAGGAGCCACCAGTGGTCTCCAGGGTCCTGCGGGAGAAACCCCAATAACTTGGTCGTGGTCAAAAGATGAAGATCTCTAGAGGAAGTACAATAAGGTCTTCTCACAAAGGATGCTTTTAGAACAAAACCAAATCAAGAAACAAAGATTTCCCAGTGTGTACGGCTATTCATGATTGTTGTGTCATTGTGTACTAAATGTATTCACAATTCCAATTGTATAGGTCACACAAAATGTAGAACAAGGATTCCTCAGTGTGTTGAGACTTTTTTCAGATTCAAACCTCTGAATTTGAATGATTGATTAAAAGGGCTCGGGGACCGTGGTTCAATCCCCAGCTCTACATGCCTTACCACACCTGACCTGAAGGCAGCCTGAGCCAGCCAAAGAAAAAGAAAAGAAAAGAAAATTAAATCATAAAGGGTATGCTACGTCAAAATGAAAATTTAAGTTTGCTGCAAAATGTGACCCTGACTGTCATGCTCCAGTGCTGTGTAGGGTTCTGATTTCTAAATTTCTGTGTAAAAATACATAATGTTGTTTGCTAACATCCTGTAGGGATTCAAGTATTAGAATACCCACAGTTGTTAGAGAATCACAGTGTCATTTTGTGTTCTGAAGCAGGTGGTGTTCAGCTGAGACCGCGACACGAAGCTTCCCGCCTCCGTCACCACGTGACCTCACCGTCCTCCCTCCTGCACACTCAGCGACTGAGGTTTGGAGACCAAACACGAGAGACCCTTTAGTGTTCCAGGTAAGTCCCGAGTAGACTTAGCTGACTTGAGAGAGAACACAGCAGCTTATTAACATGGGCCGCACCTTAACTCGGCCTTCAGCGTCCAGCAGAGAAGTGTCACCACGGGGGGCAGGAGACGCTGCGGAGCTGCAGAGGTTTCCTGTCGCTGAGCGCCTCCGACAGCTGCCAGCTCTGCGGCTCCTCCCTGCTGCGCGCTCACCGGGCCGTGCAGGTCGCCCGCTGAGGACGGCCCTGAGGTCCTCGGCCTGCGCCTCGTGAGCCTAAGTGAGTGAGTGCACTCGGGTGGAAAGGGCTCGAAGGCGAGAAGGCTGCCACGAGTCCTGCCCACGCAGCGTCTCCAGCCTCAGCTGAGCGCCGTCACTGACGCCACAGCCCAGAGAGGGGAAGGCGTTGGAGTGCACGGAGCTGGAAGTGGCTCACACGTTGAGGGCGGCAAGACCAGCCCAGGAACGAGGAGCGCTTGGAGCAAGCAGGCTGCCTCAGTCCTGAGAGAACATGTTGCCTGGGACGATCCCAGTCATTACTGAGTGGGCAGCCCTGTGTGTGTGACACTGACTGTACCACATGTATAAATAGACGCCCCCACAGGGGCTGGTCAGTTTCTTTCTTCTCCCCGAAGAACGAGTTCCTTTGTGGTCCCCAAAATGTTGCCAATCTGCTGCGGGTCCTTATGCTCAATTCAAACGGAAATCGTAAGTCCCCAAAGCGCAGCTCTGACAGCGCAGCAGGGTAAGGGATGGCGACCAGCACAGCGCCCTCCTCACCTTAGCAGCAGGAGAGATTGAGGGTTCAGTTTAGTGTGACCCCTGCCTGAGCGTTTACATAGAAGACATCCGGGCCAGGCCCCCTTCCTTCCTGGCCTTGTCTACGTTACCCCATCCCTCGCTCCTGCCCTGCCCTGTCACACTGCACACACATGTAGGAGACGAGGAGGAGCCGGGGTGATCTCAGGGCAGTAAGAGCCAGACCATCTGCCCATGCTTGGCCATACATTCTTGAACTTTCTCTCTTTCCTCCCCCGTGGCCTTCAATCCTTTCTAGAACCCACTTCTCCATCCTGGTCCTCACAGTGCTCTATCCCAGCGCTGGACACCGAGTCTCAGAGGGGCTCTTTCTCTGCTGCTGACCAGTTTGATATCTTCCAGGAGCCCAGCGCACTCTCTCTCTCTGTCTCTCTGTCTCTGTCTCTGTCTCTGTCTCTGTCTCTCTCTCTCTCTCTCTCTCTCTCTCTCTCTCTCTCTCTTTCTCTCTCCCTCCTCTCCTCTCCTCTCCTCTCCTCTCCTCTCCATCCTCTCCTCTCTCTCTCCTCCACCCTCTCTCTCCCCCAGTGTCTCCCTCCACTCCCTCTGATGACAGAGCAGTCACAGGCAGGACACTCTCTCCTGCTAGGAGCAGCAGGGTCTCCAGTCCCAAATCTGTGTTCCGCACCCCGGCTCCGTGTGGGGCTCTCCTCACCTGGGCTCCCACTCGCTTCTCCTCACACTTCGAGCTGCCCACCTGTTCTCTCTCAGGAAGCTTCCAGGGCTCCCTGCTGAAGGCCCACGGTGCTCCCCACGGTGCCCAAGCCGTGCTCTGCTGTCTGTGCCCTGGTTCCCTCCTGGCCCTTCCAGCCTCAGCCCAGCTCCTCCCTGACAACGTCCAGCTCACCTGGGGGTCTCAGGAATGTTCCAGGGTGAGGGGATTCCTGCAGGGGCGGGGCAGACAGGGGAGAGCAGTGGGGGCAGGGCGCCAGGCAGGAGGCGGTGAGTGGGGCCATGGTGACAACAGGGGGAGCACAGCTCGGAGAAAGAGCTCTGCAGCACTCCGGGCTGGACAGGACCACCAGGCTGTGACGGCAGCCTAACCAAGACCTGAGAGGCTGCAGACGGGGTGAGGGCAAAGGGACCAGGACAGCGAGGCTCGCTGGAGGGCTGGGACAGCAGGGTGCAGAGGGCCTGCTGACCGGGAGGACCCAAGAGGAGGCATGGCCGGAGTGCAAAGGGAAGGAGGGCGGAGAGGGAGGGGGCAGCCTGCGGACAGTGGGGGGCTTCAGCATCCCCAACGCCATCCTGGAGCTCGGCCTCCTCTCCACCTCCCCAGCCGCCCCTGGTCCCGAGGCTGACCCCTCCTGGCTCCTCTGTGCTCTGCCCTTCGCCCCAACACGAGGAGCTTTGACAGTGTGGAGGTGAAGGAAGAATTAAAACCACCTGACAGGAAGGCCGGGAAGATGGCTCAGTGGCATAAGTGCTTCCCTGGCAAGTGCAAGGGCCTGAGTTCAATCCCCGGATCCTCGGTTGGGGGGGGGGGGGAATCAATCACTTGACAGGTGTGGGGGAGAAAGGAAAGCAGCAGAGGGAGTCTGGGCTGGTACCCTAACTCAGGTGCCTCACCTCCTTGTCCACCCCACGAGCGCTCACTCTCTCTCTCTGTCCCTCTATCTCTGTCTCTCTCACACACAGACACACACGCACACACGCACTCACACACCCCAGCACACACAGCTGCAGTTCCTGCCCCTCCAGTGGCTGTGTAGACTCATGATCTTTGGAAACAGAGCCCAGTCCAAGGGCTGCAGGGTGACTTCTCACAGGAGCGCAGGGCCCCTGGGACTTCCGCCAAGCGCTGTCCCCCTCCCTGCTGCCTTTCCACCAGCCCTTCTGTACACCACACAACACAAGTTCATTTGAGGTAAAAGTTTCCACACAATGGATTCTGTTTTCTTTAGTAGTAGAACAATTTTTTTTTTTTTTTTTTAGGGCTGGAGAGATAGTTAGCGCAGTAGAATAAGTAGAATAAGCACCTGCCTGGCAAGTGGAAGGTTGTGAGTTCAATCCCCAGTACCATGAAAAAAAAAAAAAGTTTTCTTCAGTAGACTCTGACCTATTTTTGTTTTTGTTTTTCCTTTTAGAGACAGGGTCTCACTACACAGTTCAAGCTGGCCTTGAACTCCTGAGGATCCTCCTGCCTCAGCTTCCTGAGTGCTGGGATTACAGGCATGCACCACCACCCTGCCTTGCCCTGAGCACCCTTAAGCTTGCATTGGAGCCAGTGCTGGGATTACCAGGGCTAAAGGGAGGGCAGGCTGGGTGAGCCGAGAAGGAAGTTAAGCAGGCCCAGCTGAGCAGCGATGGCACCGTCCTCCGCTCCTCCTGGGATCACTCTTTGTTCACAGACTGCAGACAGCTGTCCAGGACACAGCCCTAAGTGCAGAGAGGCTCGTGCGTGCAGCAGCCACTGAGGCCTTCTGGGGACCCGACAGGACACACGCCTGCCACCTCAGGCGGGAACACGCAAAGAGCAGGAGAGCAGCCTCCGGGCCAGAGCGAGGCCGGCTCCCCTCTGAGAGACTGAGACGCAGGAAGGACTCGGGGGCCGCCTCCAGCTGCGCCTGCGCTGGCCTGGCCACAGGAAGCCGGCGCTGTCCCCAGGCTGGGACATAGAACAAGGTTCTGGGGTGTCTAAGGCCCTGTGATGTCAGCTCAGGGTGGGACAAGGGTCTACTGTAGGGACGAGGACACAGGAGACGACCCTGCGGGCAGTGACCACGTCAAAGCCCAGCAAGCCCTGCACACTGAGGGAAGGCCTGGGAGCTGCCCTGAGCCTCTGCGCACACACTGCAGGGATCCTCTAGCCAGCCAGCGCCTGCGGTCAGGAGTGGGAAGAAGCGTCCCTCATTCTGACTCTCAGGGGTGCGAATTTCCAGGGTCCTCACAGGAGGAACACGGGCCGTGAGGGAAGAGAGTGTCTGTGACGCAACAGTGACTCAGACACATCCAGCTGGGCCAGGCAACGCGTTTATTAGGGGTCCTTACAGAGCAGGGGACGTGGGGACCCGCAGCACACTGACATCACCGACCCCGTCCCCAACAGCTGAGCAAGTGCTTTGAGGGCCTTAATTAAAACGGCAGCATCCAAGTCAAAGGCAGGAGAGATCCCTGGGAGAGGTGCGTGTTCTCCACCCCACCTGCCTCCCCACCAGGACACTGCTGGTGTCCAGGAAGCCCTGGGGGCAGGGAGCTTGGGCTGCGGCTGGTACAGGCTCGGCTGCTGGCAGGAGCCCATGAGGAGAGGGAGGTGCAGCCAGGCCTGGTAGAGCACACTGAATCCCAGCACTTGGGAGGCTGAGGCAGGAGGACCACTGAGTTCAAAGCCAGCCTTGCTATAGAGTGAGTTCAAAGAAAAGAAAGAACAAAAAGATGGACGACTGTGGCCGAGGAGAGGTGGATGGGGGCCCGCAGAGCAGGGAAGGAGCAGCAGCAGCTCAGGGCTCCATGAGGCTGGCTCAGTGGTCCAAAAGCACAGCCCCGCCGCTGCTGAGACAGGACAGCTGGGCAGGAGGGGACACAGGTCACGGAGGCGACAGGGCGAGCCAATCTCTCCAGGTCCCCATTGGGCCGAAAGGAACGGAGCCCCAGTGTTATGATTTGTGTCTAGTTGTCCCCCCAAAGCCTCATGCAGTCATGGGGTGAGGACTTCTAGAGTTTGTGTTAACTCACGATCCACTGGGATCATGTGTGATCCAACGCTGGGATTATGGGTCTTAGTACTGCTGGGATTACCCATAGGTGGGTAACTACTGGGAAGTACCCATAGGTGTGAGTACTTCTCCTACCCTGGGGCAGGTAA